TGAAGCTTCTACACAACAAATATTCCTCCCCAGAATTTCATTAAACTAGACATACCAAGTTCCTGCAACCATTCCTCATGTTTTAGCCTCTAGTCCCCTAATCATCTTTGTTGCTTTCTCTGCACTCTTATTTCTAGAGTCTCCACATCTTTTTTACATCATGGCGACCAAAACTGAATGCAGTATTCCAAGTGTGGCCTTACCAAGTCATTATAAAGTGGTATTAACACTTCACGTGAGCTTGATTTTCTAGAAGAGAACTTTAGGAGTTATAGCAGAATACAAAAGATAGTTTGTATATTTCTTTGCTGCCCTCTAGTTGTCATTCAGGTTTTTAAAAAAGATTATTCATAGCTTCTTCCTCTGTTCTTTTCAGAATTTTCCTACCCATCTTGAATAAAAGACTAACTTTTTTTTCTATGGTGAGGAGGATCTTGGTCAAATCTGTATATGACAAGGATTGCATCGCTCCTATATGAAGATGCTGCATCAGACAGGCGAGTTGTATAATCCTAGTCCTGCAACCAGGCTGCCATTTTTGGAACAGTCTGGCAAACAGTTATTGTTGTGAATGCAGGCTTTCATTCCCAGGAAAGATGGATAATGGAGAAAAAGCAATAATATTTAAGAAATAAGATTTTCTTTTGCTTTATTGATTCAATAAATTAGTTTGACTTGAAGTAGCGATGAACAAATGTCATTCGGGCCCTATTCATCTCACAATTGGACTGTTGTAATGCGCTCTACATGGTGGGGGAAGAGCTCTACCCTTGAAGAGCATTCAGAAGCTACAGATGGGGCAGAGTGCAGCAGCGTGGGCAGTTCTTGGGGTCCAAATAATGGCCCATGTAACACTACTGCTCCGTGAGCTGCATTGGCTGCCAGTCCGTTTCTGGTTGCATTTCTAGGTGTTGGTAATCACCTTTAAAGCCCTTCATGGCATGGGTCCTGGCCACTTGAGGGATGTTTCATCCTACTGGGATTGACCAGCTTCACCTGTGCGGCAGGGAAGGCATGTTGCGGGCCCTGTCGGCCCAAGTAGTAGAGTCCAAGAGAAAGGCATTCTGTCGCTGCACCTGCCCTCTGGGACATCTTGCCATCACAGAGTAATGGCTGTAAATGGAACAGCATAGATTAACAACAGATCCCACCCACCCCCATCCTGCTCCCATCATCCCCATCTTTAATTGGGCTGCAGTGTTTGTTTTTATATCATTTACGTTTTAGTTTATACAATTTTTATCTTTTATGATTTCAAGTCACCCAGTTACCTTCAGGTAAGATAAATTTTATAAATAAATAAATAACAAAATGAATCAATAATATAATCAAATATTTTGGAGAAGTTTTGAATATTATGTTTCTCTCAGGTGAAACTTCCTCTAGTCTAGAAAATGCCATTCTGAGGGATGATTCAGGATATAGCAATAAATATTATAGTAATAAATATTCTTCAAACCAAAAGTGTCTTAAGATATGTACAAAAATGTAGTCTCAGGTATTTTGAGGCCAGATCAATTCTAGCAATTAACTAGAACTGCTTCTAGTTCTGTAATGTTTAGGGAGACTTAAAAATATCTAGGAGTTTCTTAAAATTGCTGAATGAAATGAATGTTTAAAATATACTTTCCACAATAAATTAGCAGTAAGAGTGCATTCCTTAAAAATGCAATAAGTCTATAATTCTGTAAACAATTACTGTTTTGAATGTTATTCTTATTTATTTATAACTCATTCTACCTTTTCCTAGAATCAGTTTTTTTCTCCAAGTTATAATCCACCTCTACCATATTCCTGTTTTTATAGTTTGATCTTCTAATTGTAGAAATTTATAAGTAGAGTCACCTTCTGAAATTCAACCAGTTTAGTCAATAATATTCTTTTACATGTTGTTAGCTTACAAATATGAAGCTACCCAACATTAGTCTCCCTGTATTGAAGATAATCATAGAAAGGGATTGTTGTTAATTACAAGGCTCTAAGAAAAATCCAGTGGGATTTTCCATTAAACAATATAAAATTATAAATGTATTTTTAAAATCTGCAATGTGCATCACATTCACATGTGTGATCCAGTTGAATAGCTTAATCTCATTGCAGCTAGTTTAAACAGGAATGTGTTCTTACCTAGGTATAAATACAGAAATATAGGGTAGAGTAAAACACTTAATTGTATAGGTTATTTGTAGCTGTTTATAAATGCAAACAAACATTAGGTGGCAAACCTATACTGAGTTACTTATACTAAGAGTAACAGAGAAATATATTTTAACTTTTGGGGAAAATAAAGCTGGCAAAATCGTGCCCCAAACAATTGACACCCCACCCCCCAGCCTTCCTGTATAATAAAATATATATTTAATCGGAATTGGGGAGCTGGAAAAAAATAGAACTCCGCCAATCTACAAAGCATTTGATGTTACTATGAAGATAGGATTGATTCCGGTTTAAATTTCGTTAGAAGTCGCTCGCGGAAAACTCTTTTATATTCTCTGTTCTCATGCCAGTCTAATGGCAATGACCTGGAGTTTTTGAATGTGCGAACATTTTTTCTTAAAATGAAATCATTACTCCTAGTAAGTCATACATTATAATGAATGAAGAACCGCTTTATATATTACCGCGTCTTGTTTAAATGGACTAGTTTCACCTCCGCCCCGGAACTAAAACAATTAATCCGGAAGGGCTATAAATTAGAATAATTTTTATATGCATGTATCTCAGGTTTTTGGCGATATTCGTTATCTCTATGGGTCTTTTCCCATTCGTGGGAACATATTGCAATAGTAGCCTACAGCCAGGGAAGGGAAATTTCCTCGCCTGATGCGGAGGTTTGAGGGTGGTGGTGGTTCTAGGCAATGGGGCGGAGTCGAGGAACCCAGACATGAAAGGAAAATGGCGACGCTCGTGTTGGATAACGGCGCTTATAATGCGAAGATCGGGTACAGCCATGCTCATGTCAGGTGAGGTTGGTTTTTCGCTCGAAACAATTATGGACAAAATGAAAGCTTGTGTTCAGAGACATCATTTTAGGACAATTAAGGACTAATCTATGGAGCTTCTTTCATGTTTCATATAGGGATGGATCCGGATGTATTGTTACCGTGAATGGAGAGAAATATTCCCAAACTTCCTTAACAAACGCCCAGTTTTTTTTAAACTACGAAAACGTAATTTATTGAACTGTGTTGTTCATTATAAAATGTTTTCCACCAAGGGGAATTTGGAAGAATCTGTTTTCTATTTACAGATGGATCAACGATTTTTGCAAATACGCCTCAAGCATACTTAGTTTATTTGCAGCCTTCTGATGCACAGGAACCAATTCTCCAAATAGATTCTGGATAATTTGTCTTTGTGTAATGCTCAAAAAATGCATTAATAATATTTTAAATTCTGAGTTTCATTTGTGTTTTTAAGGCTTTTCTGCGATAAAATCATCAGGCTTTTTTGCAGAAAATATGCGTAATTGATTTGGGAAATCTTGAAAAATATGGAACTGAGAATTTAACTATAGGAAACTTTATTGCGTTTTAGGCCCCTTTTTGGTTGCATTGATTTGCTGCTTCCAACTCTAATAAAATATTTAACTTAATAGAGCATTTCCTTTGAAGTGTTTTGATATTGACAGTATTTTGTTATTTGCTTTGTTCACTTACAGATGACAGCTTGTTTAAATATGTATTTAGGAATCCATTAGATTTTTTTTCCATCCCACAGTGTCATTCCCAATTGTCAGTTCAGATCAAAGACTGCTCGTTTGAAAACATTTACAGCTAACCAATTGGATGAAATTAAAGATCCATCTGGACTTTTTTATATTCTCCCTTTTCAGAAGGTAACTAGAAATATGTCTCAATATATGCATTTTTTGTTTTCCACTTAATTCTTTTAAATATATCTTCATCCTATATGGATGTTCATTCAGCTGAACAGAGGAAGGGCAGTTACATTTTAATCAAAATATAATGAATTTCCCTTTTGATTTCTTTTAGTAATACATATGTCCAGTAAATATTGGTTGAAAAATTGGAATTATGCAAGTGTCATATTTATTTATTTTTTTAAAATAGGGATACTTGGTTAACTGGGATGTTCAGAGACAAGTATGGGATAATCTTTTTGGAAAAGAAATGTATCAGGTAACTTGCATTTTTCTTTACCTTGAATATAGAAGTAAGACAGGTGCAAAAGGCATTTAGATCATGATATTTAAAACATTTGCTACATTAATAATGATTGAAAGTAAGTTTTGATTTGGATAATCTGTGGATACCATTCAGTTTTAAAGCTTCAAATGTGCTGTGTCCAATTATGCAACTGGTCATTGTGGGTATTCTTGAATATTGAAAATGGACTGCCAATTGACATTAATTTATTGTGGAAAATATATTTAAAATGGTTTGTTCATTATATTCAGCAATTTTGAGAGAATCCTAGATACAATCTAAAACTTGCTTAGAACAGTAACTTAGTGGCACTATGTGGGTCAATTTAATAATAAAATATAGCTTTAATATGGATTTTGAATTAATATCAGGAAGTTGTTATGTCTGAAGTTTTATTTTAAAAGTACTTTCAGTTCTTGAAATGTTTTCCTTTGCAGGTAGATTTTATTGATACGAACATAATCATCACAGAACCTTATTTCAACTTTAGCTCAATTCAAGAGTCTATGAATGAAATATTATTTGAAGAATACCAATTCCAAGCAGTTCTCAGAGTAAATGGTGAGTGATATTGTCCACTGCCCAGAAAATCGATGATGCTCTTCATCCTGACATTGATTCAACACATAAAATTTTTTTTATGTCAGTCTGCTAATAAAAATAGTTATAATATGGCATATTATGTTTCAGCTGGAGCTCTTAGTGCCCATAGATACTTCCGAGATAACCCATCAGAATTGTGTTGTATTATTGTGGATAGTGGATATTCTTTTACACACATTGTGCCTTACTGTAGAAGTAAAAAGAAGAAGGAAGCAATAATAAGGTAAACATTTAAGCAGTCATGAAAAAGAAATTTTGTTTTAAAAATAAATGAAAATTTTAAATAAATAAATTACATTTATTTTTAATTTCCAGAATTAATGTTGGAGGAAAACTCTTAACCAATCATTTAAAGGAAATAATCTCTTACAGGTAAAGCATTTATTTTGACTCTGTAAAAGTACCCTACTGAACTCCATCATCAAACAAATCATGCTAGATTAACCTTATGATCTTTGGGAGAATTGCTACTTAAATAAATCAGAGGGTTACTGTGGTCATACTGGACCTCAACAAAACTTTGACAGAATGTCTCAAGATATTCTCTTTAATAAAATGGTAAAATATGGGCTAGGTGATTCTGGTTAGATGGATAATTGACTGAATGACAATATCCAAAGATCTAGAAAATCTTGAAAAGTGGACTATAATTACTAAGATTGATATTAACAGGGAGAAGTATAAAGTTCTGCATCTTGGTAGGAAAAATGTATAGCACAAATATAGGTTGGAAAAGACTTGTCTTTGCCATAATATATGCATAGATTCTATTCTGTTGTTATTAACCACTAATTAAACATAAACCAGGAATTCGGTGCAGTTACTAAAAAAGCAAATGCTTTTTATAGTCAAGAGTATAGATAGTCCTCATTTAGTAACTGTCTCATGTAGCACCATTCTGATTACAAGGGTGATAAAAAATAACTTTATGACCAATCTTCACACTATGATCTTCACAGGTCTATAAAGCAAAGGAAAGCTGAATTAAGATCAATAGCACAGTAATGGTTTCACTTAGTGATCACTTAACAACCAAGTTGCCAGTCTCAATTGTGTTTGCTAACAAGCTTAGCATGTACATTAAATGGGAGAAAAGTCCAGATCATGGGAGTAATTGTTTTATTCTGCCCAAATCAAGACCCATTTACAAAACTATTCAAATGTGGTCACTACAGATCAAAAATGCACAGTGGCAAAGTAAATTCAGGGGGGAGTATGAAAAGCAAGCCTGAGGACAAGTTAAATTATTTGGTTATGTTTAGTCTTCCAAGAAATTAGCAGTCTTCAAATATATGAAGATCTTACATAGAAGGAAATGTAGGACTTACTTTCTCTTGTTCCTAAGAGCAAAACCAAAGCCAATAGCTAAAATTATAAGAAAGGAAATAAAGGAGATTGGAATAGATGAGTTCTAAAACTGTTTCAAGCTCTCTGATTATCTACCTATGAACTCATTGTACGAATCTTGGAAAGGATATGCCATATCCTTCAGATTCAAGCAGCTATGAAGTTTAGCAGGGTTGCCCAACGAATCCTTAACCAGAACTTACTGTAATGATTGTGATTTTAATTCCTCAATTTACCATTAAATTTAGTAACAAACATACCATTTTTTCGGAGTATAACATGCACCTTTTCCCCCCAAAAAAGAGGGTGAAAATCTGGGTGCATTTTACACTGAATATAGCATTTTTGGCCTTTGGAAACCCCGCTCCCTTCACAAAAATGGACGTGCAGAGGGTTTGGGTGGGTTTGCAAAAAACAGGCCCATTTTTTCCCCTGTACAAGCCTCCTAAAGGCTATACATGCCCTCTCTTTTTTTGCAAAAAAACAGGCCCATTTTTGTGAAAAATGAGCCATTTTTTGCTCGTCCTCCCCAGTCCCCAGGAGCACTTTGTAGGCCTTTCAAACTCTGCGTGCCCTGTTTTTCACAAAAAATGAGGCGTGCAGAGAGTTTAGGAGGTCTGCAGAGTGCAAAAACGTTTTTTAAAATTTACCTCTTCAAAATCTTGGTGCATCTTATACTCCGGTGTGTCTTATACTCCAAAAAATACAGTAAATCTGTAGAACATTAAATGTTAATCTTGCAGTGAACTATGAAATACAAAGTTAAGTAAATGTCCTTCAACACTTATAATAAACTGGCAAAGCAAACAGAATAATCTTTTAAAAATTTCTTGTAATTTTTCTAGGCAGCTCCATGTTATGGATGAAACTCATGTGATTAATCAAGTGAAAGAAGATGTATGTTATGTTTCACAAGACTTTTTCAAGGATATGGAGATTGCCAAGTATGGTCTTTTTAAATATTTTGATTAAGTGTTGCTTATTAAAGTTTAGAAATTTATAGAGCTTAATTCTAAAATGCAAGCCACCTGGTTAGGCTGACATTTTTGTAATTAAAAAGATACTCTTTTGAGTATGTATGGAATATTTTATCTTCTGTGCCCCCATCATACAAATCTGGAAGGAGAGACTAAGATCTTTGAGAAGACCTTTGATTAGGATTTCAGTTTGTGATCTGATCCTTGGAAGAAGGTAGATGTCATTTTCTAGACATTTTTGTCCATAAAGGTGACCTAAAATATTTTAAATAGAAGAAATAATCATATTCAAAATCAAGGATGTGTTACACATTTTTCTACTTCCAGCATTTACCTAATAATCACATTAAAAGCCCATTTCATTCTTCAAGGGTATTCAAGTTATTAACATTATAGTATTATGTTATATTAAAATATAAATAAAATAAAATATAAAATTGCTGTGGAGAAATTGTTTTGAGAAACTTTAAGTAATTACTTAATGCATTCTCAATGAATTCTGTTCCAGGTTGAAAGAAGAAAATACAGTGATGTTGGACTATGTTTTACCAGACTTCAGCACAATAAAAAAGGGATTTTGTAAGGTAATAAAATCACTTTAACTGTGTTTAAAGTTTTCAGTGTATGCAAGTAAATGACAAACATTTGTCAATTTGTTGTATGCTGTTATTAAATACAGTAGTTGAATAACACTAAATGTAAAATATAGATTTTACCACTATGTGTTTTATAATTGTTTGATGTAGCCAAGAGAAGAAATGGTGTTAAGTGGAAAGTACAAAACTGGTGAACAAATACTTCGTCTTACAAATGAGCGATTTGCAGTTCCAGAAATACTCCTCCATCCTTCAGATATTGGCATTCAAGAAATGGGAATTCCTGAAGCCATTGTTTATTCAATTCAGAATTTGCCAGAAGGTACATTTATTAAAATGGTGTTGCATTCTCAAGGATCCATCTGGGAAGTATATTGCACAACAAAACATTTTATTTTGCTTAAGTAGCTTACAGTTTTAAAGGCAATGGCTTCATTGTTTACAATTATTTGAATATTGATATTTGCAATAATTACAGGTAGTTCTCAAGCAATGATCACTCGTTCAATGGCCATTTGAAGTTGCAATGGCACCAAAAAGTAATACTTTGAACTGGTCCTCAAGATTCTGACTGTCCCAGGAACCCTATGATCATGCAATCATGAATTGGATACTTGGTAACCAGTTCACACTACAACAGTTGCAGCATCCCACAACATGTGATTGCCATTTGTGGCCTTCCTTATCGGGTTTCCACACTCAAATCTGGGGAAGCTTGCAGGAAAATCGCAAGTCATTCACATTCCAGTGGCTTTCTCTCCTGAGGACCCTTACTGCGGTATCTGAACACACTCCTCCCAACCACCACCAGCACACCCTCAGACACATTTTCCCACTTGTAGCACCACACTCAAAATGGTTGCCGGATCATCCAATAGCAGCCAACCTTGGTCTTGCTATATCTGTGCTATGCCTTGACAGTCACTCACACATCCTCACACACTTGGCCACAGCCACCCCCACCCCCCACTATGTTCATGCCATCTTCAACAGCCATTTTTTCACATTCCTCCATTAGGCATCTTTCAGACTGCATGACAGCCACCCATGCATTTTCCCCTATCCAGCTGAACCACTTACCTGTCTTAGCCTACTTGTGATCCACCCGGGACTTGCAACATTCAGCTAACTTCCCTATTGACTTTGCTTATTGGAAACTGGCAGGAAGTTGCAAGGAAGCGCTCACTTAATGATCTGCAGTCCTCAGTTAATATCAGTGGTCTAAACTATGTGATTATGTGACATCGCATTTTTGACTGCATCGCTTAGTGACAGAAATTCTGGTCCCAATTGTCATTGTAACCCTAAGACTATCTGCATTTATATTAAGGATGCTACATCTATAAAATTTAATAAAACATTACAAATGATTAAATATCTAGTTAAAATGTAATTACGCATTACATAGGAAACCATTGTTAGTATTAATATGCTATTGTAAAAATGCAGCAATTACATACCAGTGTAATCAAGTATGCTGGACAAAAGTAAATTAAATCAAGTATTTTGAAATACAGGCTTTAGCCTTTTGTGGAAATAAGCTATTATGTTTGTAAAATAGGTAAATATTAAGATGATGGTAGGAATGCCTTCATGTGTTTATTCCAGGTTAAAAACAGTCATAAGCCTATCAGATGGCTGCTATTAAGGGAATGACACACATGCATTAGGTATATGGTTAGCTCAGATTAAGATTTTTGTTCCTGTTACACTTACAGAACTCCATAATATCAGCAATAATGCCAATTTTTACTTTTTAAAAAAAAGATAAATCTAAATTATTTCTACCTCTCTCAGGCAAATTTAAACTGGCAATTGCTTTTTCTTTTACCATAAAACCAAACAGATCAATTCTGAATATTAAATTATCTTAATCTTGTTTGTCCACAGAAATGCAGCCTCATTTCTTCAAGAATATTGTTTTAACTGGTGGGAATTCTCTGTTCCCTGGCTTTAGAGATCGTGTTTATTCTGAGGTTCGATGCCTCACTCCAACAGATTATGAGGTTTCAGTTGTTCTACCAGAGAAGTAAGTAGTCTTCAATTGACAAAGTTTCTTAATTTTAAAATATGATTTTTCAATGTTTATATTAAATTTTCTAATATTAATTTAGGAATGAACGTATTCTAGTTCCAAAATATCCATGTAGTATTTTATATATTGCCTTTTCCCTAAAAATTCTCACCTCTTTTTCAGGCTCTCACCTGTTTTGTCTACCCATGATTTTCCCAGTCTTCTCCTTTTGCTCAATTTATTTATTTAGTCGTCATCTTAGTTTATCTAGCTATCTATATCATCTATTGGTCTATCAATCAATCAATCAGTCAAATTTATTTGCCAACTGTCTCACAGTTAAAGGCAACTCTGAGAGCTGACAAGATAAAAGACAAACATCTGACAATTATAAATAAAAGAATAACATTACAAAAACTAAAACAAGCTAAAAAAAGCAAGGCTTTGGAGGGAAGAGGTAGGGCTGCCTTCTCTATTAATGCACCAACCACCTCCACCAACAGCTTCTACTTCAGGACTCCATGCCAGATGGCATAGCCAGGTTTTAAGGCTTTTACTGAAATCTAAGAGAAGGTGGTTCTTAATCTGTGGCAAGAGGTTTCTATTTTTGTATTGTGACTACGTCTTTGATGTTTCATATATAAACCAAGGACCCCCGACCTACTTCTTTCATATTGATGACTCACTTTGTATTCATTTATGCTTACACTTTGTCTTTGAAGGCAACGGTATTAAACTGTAGTGTCAAATGTTTTAATAGAGAAATGGTCCAAGAATCAAAATTGGAAGGGACCATTCAAGTTATTGAGTTTAAACCATACTTAATGTAGCAATCCAGTTTCATTTATCTCAGACTGTCTAGCCTTCATGTTAACAAAAGGTAAAGTTTGGACAGCCATTTGTCCAAGATGATAAAAGGATTTGTGTCTTGGGCAAAGGTTAGATTAGAAAATATCTGAGGCACCTCTTTACTTTCTAATGAAAAGGAGGGCACAAATGCATTTAATTTAAACCATTCCCACACAATTGAAAGTTATGATACCCAGCTCTCACTTCTATATATACAATATATAGGAAATTGGAAAAAGCACACACACATCCATTTTTGTTTCTTCCAACAAAGATTCATCCCTCACAACAAACTCTGTCTTGCTCATGACATTTCTAAGCAAATAACATAAGTTAAAACTTCATCATCCATTTAATAAATATTCTATCAAGGTACACAATTTCACATGCTTGCTCTGATTTTCTGGTTTTATCTGCTCACATGGGTAGGTGTAACTTGTAATCATTCCATTCATTTCCCCTGTGGAATACAACTAAATTAATCATAACCAACTTGGTCTTAAGCATATTTATTGTACATGCATTATACAAGTAATGTTTTCTAGTATGGTTAATGTAAATTAATATCAATTTTATATAGCTTGCTTTTAAAAGGCTGTTTTATTTATTTTCAGTCCTATTACTTATTCCTGGGAAGGTGGAAAGTTGATTTCTGAAAATGATGATTTCGAAGATATGGTAGTAACAAGAGAAGACTATGAAGAAAACGGGCATAGCATATGTGAAGAAAAATTTGATATTTAAAGTACTTCCATATAAGTGTTGTATAGATCAGTGATGGCAAACCTTTTTTGGCTGCCGTGCCAAAAGCAGGGGGAGCACAGGGAGGTTGTACGCCGGTGTGTCACACCTATAATGCTATGTGTGCACCCCTCCAGCCTATGTGCATGCACACGATCAGCAATCCCACCCGATTCCTGTTTTTGCAACGTTTCTTCGCTTTCGCCAGGCTCCAGAGGCTTTCTAGGATCCAGGGGAAGGCGAAAACAGCCTCCCTGCCCCCTCCCCCCGACGCCCTCTAGAGGCCTCAGGAGCTTCCCTGAAGCCTGCAGAGGGCAAAAAACGGACCTACAGGGATCCCAGAAGTTCGGGAATGGCGACTTCCAGTTTGTCCGTAGGGCTGATTTTCGACCTCCTGAGCCTTTAGGGGCCTTCAGGAGGCTTCCCTGAAGGTTCCGGAGGCTGAAAAACGACCCTACAAGCAACCGGAAGTCACTTCCGGTTTGTCCATAGGGTTGTTTTCCGCCCTCCGGAGTCTTCAGGGAAGCCTGAAGGCTCCAGAGGGGGAAAAACGGTCCTGCAAGCAAACCGGAAGTCCATTCCCGAACCTCCAGTTTGCCCATAGGGCCGTTTTTTTCGCCCTCTGGAGCCTTCAGGGAAGCCTCCAGAGGGCGAAAAACATGTGTGCTGGCCAGTTGACAGGGCAATGCCTCACGTGCCCTGACAAAAGGCTCCGCGTGCCACAGGTTCACTATCACAGATGTAGATTGTCCATTGTAGTGATATTGTATGTTGTAAGCTGGTGCTGTGCCCTAGAATAACCAATATTGATGAACTGATTATATATGTGCGTGTGTACTTATTTGTGTACATGAGTATACAAATGTATATATGTATATATTGTTATTACTGATCACTGAATTCATGGTAGATATATGAATTCTAATAAAAATAACTAGAAATAACTCCTTAAAGGAAGTGTTAATATATCAGAATATTTTGTGGCAGAGATGAATTACAAATTTTTAAATGTACAGTACATATGAAACTTTAATGTATATATATATATGAATGCTTAATTTTGGATTCTAGAAAGATAATTATGTATAACTCAAATGTATGTATAAGAAAGCTAGTTCATTTTTAAAAAAATATTTAATCTTGATCAATTTAATAAATGGGTAATTTTATCCAGAAGTCCTTTTTATTAGATCTGGTGAAAGAAAGGGCAGCAGCTACTAAGCTGAAGACAAAGGTAACGAACTGCAGTGTCAATTTTCTTAATAGAGAAATATTCCAAGGAATTAAAATTGGAAGTGGCCATTCAAGTTATTGAGTTTAGATCCACGCTTAATGTAGGGATTCGGTTTCAATTCTCTCAGACTGTCTAGCCTTCATGTTAACAAAAGGCAAAGATTTGACAGCCATTTGTGTGAAATGATAAGAGGACTCCTGTCCTCTTGGATTAGAAAACATCCCAGGGTAACTTTCAGCTTTCCAGACCCCACTATGATTTACTTGTGAGGAAGGTTTTTCTAACATCCAGTTAAAATCTGTTTTTGTAACTTAAATCCTTCTCTGGAGTTTAATAGAAAAGTGGTATAACATACAGTAATGCTTCAGCTTTATCAAGGTTATTAGTATCTAGCTTCATTAATGTCTCCACATAGAATTTAATTTGTAGTCTTCATTAAAGTTCTAACCCTCATTGCTGTTCTATAAATTTGTGGTAATTTCTCCAAATCCTTTACAAAGTGAGTTCAAATCTGAATATAGAAAAGTAGTTGTGGAGGGGACTGACAAAATTTTCAATGCCTGATGTGTTTCAAAATAGACATTTGTTCCAATAATATTCTACAGGTATTCTGTTTTTCATATATATGTTTTACTTATAATAGGAATAAATATGTATAACCTGGTCCTTTGGGTGGTTGTGAATTCATGTAGCTGGAGTCAGGAGATATATTTTTTTCTTTTAGGGGAGGTGAAATGCCACTAGTTTTAAAAGAAATGGTAATGTGTTGGCTTTTGAAGAGGCTGTTTCTATCCAGCTGTATTCGATGACTTGTCTTCAAAGTTATCTTTTGGAACAAGATTCTACCGAAGTTAGGGAATTAATGAGATCTAAAATGAAATGGATAATGTGATCCCTTCCAGAATTCAGGCAGGTACATGAGAAACAGGAATAATTTATCTGAAGCATTACCTTCTTCAGAACTTGCTTACAGATTAGAGTGCTTGATAGCATTCAGTAATTCAGCTATGGTTGAAAAAGCACCTTTGGGGTCTATGGCAGTGATGGTGAACCTTTTTCACCTAGGGTGCCAAAAGCACGAGCATGTGCACTATTGTGCCCACTCCTGTTGCCTGCCCCCATAACAATGCATGACACACACACCCCCGCTGTGTGCCTGGATTTCTAGAAACCTGGGGTAGGGCGAAAACAGCCTCCTCCCCCCCCCCCCCCGAGGCCTCCGGAGACCAGAAACAGCCCATTTTTCAACTTCCAGTGGGCCCAGTAGGTTCGTTTTCCACCCTCCCCAGACTCCAGAGACTTGCTAGGAGCCTGGGGAAATAAAATCATTTCCCGATTTCCAGTTTGCATGTTGGGCTGTTTTTTGAGCTCTGGAAGCTTCAGGGAAAACAGCCCAACTCGCAAACCGGAAGTTTGGGGATGGAACACATAAGTTCGCCATCATGGGTCTATGGTATCCTTGTTTGTTGTCAATGTCACCACTAGGACGAAGTGTGAATCTTTATTACAGTACATGCTAAAATAAGCAGCCTCCTCAGAAATACTAAGACAAAAGATTATATTGAGAAGCAACCATCAATGCCAAGATGTTTATGCATCTTGGACTTTACATCCATGATCCACAAAATCTGAATCTTCTCATAATTCTATTATAGTAAGTCAGTCTCATGCTGATCTTCAGAATCTGAGATTATATAATCAGTTTGTATCAGCAATTTCTGCAACAAGTGGCAGCGGCTGATGCAAGTAATAATAACTGTAAAGTATGCATTTATGTAATTTCATCACAGTATATACAATATATAAATAGATAATGTGTGTGACGAGGTAATTGCATACATAATTTGCTCTCCTGTTCCTTTGGATACTCACAATTCATACATTGTTTATTAAATAAAGTACTGGTAGTCCTCAACTTACGACAATTGAGCCCAAAATTTATGTTGCTAAGCAAGACAGTTATGTGAGTTTTATCCCATTTTACGACCACAGTTAAGTGAATCACTACAGTTGTCAAGTTAGTAACCTGGTTGTTAAGTGAATCTGGCTTCCCCATTGACCTTCTTTGTCACAAGGTTGCAAAAGGTGATCCCATAACCCCCGGGACACTGCAAGAGTCATAAATATGAACCAGTCGCCAAGCGTCTGAATTCTGGTCACGTGACCATGAGGATGCTGTAATCGTGATAAGTGTGAAAATGATCATAATTCACTTTTTACACTGCCGGTGTAACTTTGAACGGTCACAAAACGTTCTAAATCGAGGATTACCTGTACCACTGGCAGAGCTCATGCAATATACTAAGCCACCACACAGTAAGCTAAAACTATGCCCTATATTGCAAGGGGTGAAGTCAGCCTTCGCGGTGAGAGGAGAGCCCAAAACCGAAAGGGAAGTTACAGCGCCTTCGTCTGAAAGCTGCAGCTGAAGCACTTCTGAGGAACGCTCGCCTGGGGAATGGAACGCGTCGATAACAGCCGCGAGAAGCCCCCGGACCGCCTCACTCCAAGGCCAACCACTTGAGCAGACAGACGATCAAGCTCCCCTGACACTGAAACTACCGTTGGCGGCGCAAGCGGCGGGCGGGGCTTCCTCTGGAACAACTTCCGGCCCTGAGCCCATCTCCTGCTTCTCTCGCAGTGACAACAGGAGAGGCAGGCGGCGGAAGCAAAGGGGAAGGAGCCCGGTCAGGTTGGGGCGGATGAGGTGGTCGCCATGGCGTAGCCGAGCCTGGTCTGCACTTGGTCAGCCACGCCCCACAGTGGGGTTGAATCGTTTCTTCAGGGAGAGGTGAGCCGGGTTGAGGGCCGCCTTCGGGTCTCCGGTGCCGGAGAGTGGCCTTAAAATTTTGGAACGGGGAAGGGCCCCCCGTTTTTCTCCCTCCTGAGTCGCAAGGCGGGCCCGAATGGTGTAATGTGGGTAGGCAGGGACAGGGAGAGTTGGGTGACGTTATTCCTCTCCACGGTGTCTTCTGCTAAGGTGTTTTTCTCGATCTGTCGGGAGCGACGTGGCGGAAAAAAAAGAGTAATGAAAGCGAGCTTCTTAACTAACAGGCTCTTCCGGTTAAGAGGAAGGGCCGCTTCAACCTTCTGCTTACACGGTGAAAATCCCCTGTTTTAGGCGTTTACTTATCCGAAAGAATGGGCTGCTATTCGTACATCTTGTCTGACATCTCAAAAACTACCAACGTTTTTTTAAAAAAAATAATAGAAGCACTTTTGCTCTTAAGTGATTCCATCGTTGATTAATCTATTTTTAAAATGGACAATGGAAAAATCTGTATGTTTATTGAAATACCAAACTGAGCATAAAAGTAATATGGGCTGAGTATATTTCATCTGTTTTAAGTGTCCACTTATTGCACCCTCTGAGAAAACTTGCTTGGGAAGTCTTAAGCCAAAACAGTTAATGGGATTGCCCTGTTTTGAAAAGTAGTGGTTCACAGAAATTTAATTCTTTACTTTTTTATGAGCCATGGGTCTTATGAACCTTTTTCTGACAACTTACTAAAAGTGATTTTGTTGTGAGATATGGAAGCAGCTAAATAGAAATTACTGCCTTTACCATATATCCAAAATGCTACTGATGTTCCAGTCAAAAGTATATTTTAGTTAACTTCACATTGAAAATAACAGAATTGAAATCCTTATTTCCAGACTTTAAAAAGCAGAGCAATTATTCCCAAATTTGCTTTTGTTGTTATGATGAGCTGAAGTCATATGCAGGATAATTGAACACCTTACTACATAATTATATTTTGTTTGTTCTATTCTCAGTTTAAAAGGGTACATTCAAACTGTTTTCACAGATATGTTATCTTCCTAAGTCACACATAAAGCAGTTTTGGGGTAGTCTGTTTGGAAAGAAAAAATTCAGCCTGGCATCTCTATAGAGCTGCAGGCATGCTTCTTACAGCAGGTTCCTAAGCTTAATTTCTGGAGTTTACAGCTGTACTAATTTTTATATCCATAATATTTTCTATATCCTTAAATGACTTGAAAATATTTTCATAATTATA